TTCTAAACTAGAACTGTGGGTGTTAATCTGCCAGTTTGAATCTACGCTTACGTTCACTAGTAAAGGCTCTCATTTTGAAAAGGGAACACCGTATCTTTTGTAGACTATAGTGACATTCCCCCCTCTCAAAAAAAAGATTAAAGCTACAGGCATTATTATTCCAGAAATACACCTAGGCTTAAGTTCAACTTGTTAGAGCTAAGCAAATCAGTAAGTTTTCTGGACTGAACACGTTATTTTTTCTAATTTATTTATTTACTTACAACAGAAATACCGTGTTGTGCCAGTAGAAGGAAAATGATTCTCTTTCCTGCTAATTCAGCCATGATGCAACCGAGAGAGTCAATGTGCTTGTTGACAATATACTCACTGCCAATCCAATGTGGAATGACCAAGTCCGTTGCTCCTTTCCTTATATCTAGAGCCAGCAAGCTACTCCAAAAAGTCAGCTCACCTAATGCTAAAACACCCTGTCCACCCATCCACCCATCCCCTGACTCGTGACAGGAGGAGACGGGGATGATTCATAAGCCCTTTCCATAGACAGCTGGACTCTTCTTCCTTTGCCTGACCACAAAGACAATAAAGCAAGCTATGCCGTTTCAAGAACCAAGTAAGAATCACAAACAAATTCTTCCCTAGACTGTAAGTACAGTATTAGTGCCAAATGGATTCATTTCTGGACTGCTCAGGAAATATTCCTCCTGACCACACCTTCCCCCTACAAAGCGGCGACTGCCATGCTGACATACCTAATAAAGAAATGATGACAAGTGCTCCCCTGTCTCCCTCGAGTTAAAGACCCCGAGAAAGGGATTGCAAACATTTATAACAGAATGTGTGCAGAATTATCATAAGAAAAGATACGTGTCCGGGCAAATACCTGTCAGATCGTCCTCCTTCCAAGCTGTACCTGAGGTAGTTCATACCATCTAAGAACTGGCTGCTTGGTAAAGAGTCATCTCCCAGTTCTCTGAGGTCTTCTGGCCTAAGGTACTCTCCTCCATCTCCTGTCATTGTGTCATCACCTTTAAACCAACCACAGAAGGGACAGAGATAAGCACACACACGCAAGTTTGATGTCATTTACATGTTGGCATCTAACAGCTGGATGGCACAATAAACAGGAAGGCATTTTCCACTCAGGAAACACTGCAAACCACAAGCAATTAATGTATTTAATGAAACTGGCACATCAAGCAAGATTTAAAAAAAAAAAAAAAAAAAATTGACATCAAGGTGATTAATCAACTAGATTTAATCTAATTTTTGCTGTTGCACATACTGTTAAGGGGCAAATTTCTTCGCTACTCTCTAAGGCATGATCTCTCTGTTCCTTTATCCATCTTAGCTCGCTGGTCACAGCGATACTGTATCACAGCCTGACAGTTTATGATTAAATACAACCACTTATTTGACTGCAAGCTATGTGTTTTCAGCTGAAAAGGTGTTTTCTGTGGCCTTATGCCTGATAGTTGCAAATCCTAATTTAAACTCTCCATTGTCCAAACTCCACATCATATGAGGCTGCCTCACCCATGTTCCAACATCCTTGTGTGATCAGCAAAAAAAATTCTTATTTCTAAAACGCGGCAATATCCAGAAACTGGAAATAAGCTCACGTGCCTAGATGGTAATGACCATTAATCAGAAAAGTAATTCATAATGAATCAAAGCCTAAATGATCATTGATTATCTGACATAGTAACCTTTTTGCATATACTCTGAATAACAGGGTTTTGGGGTTTTTTTTAGGTCCAAAATTATTTTCCCCAGGAAATTCTGTCTATATGAAGTCACAGTTTGCTTTTCCCCAGCAGACTAACAAAACAGATTACATTGCCAAGCAACATGTAGATGTTTCTTTTCATTCCCATTTGCAACACGGTTTGTCTCCACAGTTTCTGCCTGGAGATTTCAGTCACTTTCCCAATGGTTAATTACTACTGCACGAGCCTGCCAGAGGCTTGCTGCGGCACACCGAACCGCACAACATGACCCTAGGCCACCGATATCTTCAAACTTCAAATTTTCTAAGCGGCACGGGCAAAAGTCAAGAACCTGAAGCTCAGTTACATGAAGGAGACTGCAACTGTTACACAGGAACAGTCTTCAGGGGCTACACATTCCAGCCGCAGTAATTCACCCCGATATGCTGAGAAACACGAAGGTTTGTAAAGGTTAGGTAAGTGGCATCCACGCTGTTTCCAACAGAATTCATTTGGGCATCAAGGCAGTTGCCACTTGTGTGGTTTAAAGTCTGAATAAAGCAAAATTGCAAAAAACAATTATTGTTAGCGCCGCTATTTCTGGTAGAGCATCCCCCCCCCTTGCAAAATGTTATTGGTGTTACAAGCTATAGGAGTGGTGCTCCCTACTAAGGGAAGAAAACTCGGTATTTGTTTTCATGAAACAAATCAAGCTACTCTTTCTAGCTTGATGTTTCAGCTAATAAATAAATAATTTATAATTTGTCATCTAAACTAAGTAACTTTTGGGGGTTTTAAGATTTTTTTGTATACACAAATATTATATGCAAAAATGAGGCCTAAATCTTTTCAGTATAACAACAAAAGCTCTTGAAAATTCCATCTGCCCACATTAAGAGGGAGAAACTGGGCACAGTTTCACAGAAAACAATAAAATGCATTTAATCATTGCATGTTTCCTGTCTTCTGACAGATGATGCCTCCTGTTTCCTGGGAATGTCACATTATAAAGCACAGGGCTTAGTGAAAATTTGGAAGATATTAAGGCAATGCTGTTAATCAAACAGTAAAAGGAATTTGAAGTTATATTTCAAATAAACTACATACTTATAATCAGGCCAGACATTCCATCTATAATAGAAACAAAGGCAAAATCTTCACCACTTTCATCACACCCACATCCTTTAAAAAAAAATCCAAACTCTACTCTTATTTCAGCTTTGGCCTCTCATCTAAGAGTTGTCAATAATAGGTCTAAGTAACACTAGCTGTTTTATGTGATGTGAACATCTGCAAACAGTAATAAGACTATCCATGAGTATTTCACAATGTCTTCAGAACATTTATCTGTTGGTAACACAGCTTCCTTGCTAGCATACGAGTCTTGAGTGAGTGAACTTAGAAGTTAAAGTCACTCCCCGCCAACCCCCCCTGTGCCCTTCCATCTTTCCTTAATGAGATGAACTCCCAAAGCAAGTTGCGCCTCCGAGTATATGAAGGGGGGGAAAAAAAATGTATTTAAGTCTAAATGATCGTGTAGCAACATAACATTTCATACAGTTGTGGTTACCCGAGTGTCTTAATTCCTGCTTTGCAGGGCAATTGCACATAGGCAAAAGGAATTATTCTGAGTCTGTGTAACAAGCAGTCATTCATCCTGCCAGCAATATTGTGTTGTCACTAAAAGATCTAACACGGCCATATTCCTGAGTCTCAGTCAATTCAAACGTACCCAGGCATGGTATCTGCTGAGAAGAAATTACATGTTCAGCTGACCATGGGCTTCTTTACACGGCAAATCTTACCAGATGGTAGTTTCGTGGCGGTACAAGAAGTTATCCTCAATCATGCTAGAAACGATTCATCTGCCATCACATTCCCCATCAAATTAATGACAGTAACGTTTTCACCACTTACTAAGCAGTTCGTGACAAATATAGCCCTTGACATTGATGCCCCGTGATTTGCAGTGGCCATCTGTGAACTTACAGGTGGATTTCGATGAGTTACCCACTTAGTGATTTATCTTCTGTTTACTTGAAAGAACACCTTCCTTTCTTCAATGATACCAACAGACCTCCAGAGGTTTACTTGACGGGGGAAAACACACGACAAAGCATTGGGTGACCTCGCACTGTGCCCCAATTAAAGCATTCCTGTTCACCTTGGCCTCATCACTGCTACTGCCCATCTCTCAAACATCTCTAAACATTTTGTCCAAATCTGCATTTCTGAATAACATCATCTTCTTTAGGGCAGGTTTGAAAGGAAATAAAATGCACCAGAAGGAAGTATCAAGTACCTGGACTCTTAAAAGAAACGCTGGGGTTTTATTGGTAAGGACACTGGAACAAGAAGTAAAAAAAAAAAAATTTTTAAAAAATTTAAATCCCCAAACGTAGGAATTTATTTAAACAAAAAGTGGCCAATAGCTGAGTCCCTGCACTTGCTGCTGCTATTATTTGTTCTTTGCAAAGTGCAAATAAGTCCCAATATGATGGGTAGCTTTTCCAGAGCATAACACACAAAGCATTACGGTCCCACTGCACTCTCAGCAATGATCTGGTTAGTCCATTAATCCATTTCCAGTGGCCAAACTAATGCCCTGGAACAAGGTGCAAGACCCCCCAAAAGCATCCATTTTGTACAGGTTTGCAACACTTGGGGTTCTTTCTTTTCTCCTCAGAAGGGGGACAGAAAAAAAGGAGAGAGATGACTTGAAGCAAGAAGATGGATACAAAGGGTGGGACTGGCAAGGGCCAGGTTGCAGGGAGAAGGGATCCCAGAGACAGCGTAAGTTTAGCAGGTTCCAGGCCTCTTACTAGGAAAAAATGAGAAGGAGATATGGACCTGCTAAACAAGGTGCTACGCATTTCTATGAGGTGTTGGCCACCTACACAAACTATTAAATCAAGTGGCCTCTTCTGCAAAACTGGAGACCCAGCACTTTGCAGGATGGGATCCAAGAGAGAGAAAGAAAGGACGAAAATGGGATGGAGAGGTGAAAAAGAGAGACAGTAAACCTAAGAATCAGAAGGGGAAAATTAAATAAACTTTAGGATTTAAATACTATGCTTAGGGCAAGGAAGGCCTCGTACAGAAACTCATAACGGGCAAGTGAAAACTGTACTGATGGTTCTTAGAAACACTTTAGACGAAGTTTTAAATCTTTGTCACAACCAAGCCAACCAAAGGCATATCTATTTTAAGCAGCGAAGAGCAGCACAGAGACTCTTAGGCTGGTGAATCCATACATACCAGACTGCAGAGCTGTGCAAACACACCGGTCCAGAAGCAGCAGAGCTACGGTGATTCAGTGTTGTACCTGAGCAAACAAGCTCTCTCGCAGCAGGGACTATTAAGCCAGCAGCAGCGCCGTGCAGCTGACCTGAGCAGGCATCCCCGCACAATTCTGCACCGTGATGGGCAACGCAGGTGGCACTAGCTGGGGCACTTTTCCAGCCTGCTGTTTTGTGCTGTAGAGGCACTCCGGAAAAACCAAACAGCTAGTTCTCACTGACTCAGAGGACCCTGAACCTTTTAAGACACCGCTGCCACAGAAACGGAATTAAAATAGCAGCACTGGCATCATTCGGCGGAGCTTCACGGGGCTGTGACGGAGCAGGAAGCACGCAGTTTAGCCTACGAGGAGCAGTGGGCGCTGCACATATCCAGCGATGATGCATTAGGTAGGCAAAAAACAGACAAAGCATGAATGGGAACCTTCCCTACGATCTTTTAAAATGCCTGGAGTTTTTTCTATTTGCCTAGACTGGGGAGCAGGAGTAAACTCCATTGCCAGTCACTGTCAAGGCCACACAGAACTGTTTTCGAAGTCTGCATTAAAATAGAGCCAACCAACCATCTCGCAAAAATCCACAACTAATTCACTTTTTGCTCAAGTCAGCAATATTCGTATGAAGGCTCTTACCGGTCTGCTCCTCTTTTTTTTTTTTTTTACATTTTATGCTGACCGCTTATTGTTTCTGTGTATCATGAACGCATAATATCCAAATATAGCAATGGATCTCGATTGCTAATTCTAAGATACCTGTTAGCAGGAAGGGAAGCACCTGGGCAGGTCTGACTGGCTGTTCAGACAGTAAATATTTGCCTCACTCTAACTGAGTAGTACAGGGAAAATGAAAAGCTAATTTTGCTGATGATGATTTCAGGTGTTTGAACACAGGTTTTGAGCGTTATAAATCATTGAACAGACTACAGGCCGCATGCTGAGACCACATACCTGCTCCTTCAGTGACAGTTCGGCTGAGCACACAGGATTTTACCAAACCATCGAAACCGGAGACCCATACTGA